CTCAGCTAGTTTAGGTCCTATTTATCGGATCGAACCCAATTTGTGCTTTTGAACGGTGAATCCTCGATGACCACCAATGTTGGTCACGGAGTCCCACAAGGTTCTGTGCTTGGACCGATTTAATTTACCCTCTATATGCTTCCTTTGGCCGACGTTATCAGAAAACACTCCTTATACTTTTATTGTTATGCAGACGATACTCAACTGTATCTGTCGATCAAGCCAACCAGCTTGATAGCTTCAAGAATGTCTTGGAGACATCAAAACGTGAATGACCTGCATCTTCCTGATGTTAAACTCAGAAAAAAAGTTATCTTGATAGACCTAGAGCGCCAAAAGTCACGTGATACAGTTTCTATGGCTGGAATTGCTCTGGTATCCAGCAGCACCGTCAAGGATCTTGGAGTTCTCTTTAACCAGGATACGTCCTTCAACTCTCATATAAGGAAGACTTCAAGGACCGCCTTTTTTCATCTAGGTAACATATCAAAAATCAATCTTCCTCTCTCAAAATGACTCGCTGCTCTTGTAAATCTCTTAAGCCTCTCCAGTTGATTCAGAATGCTGCAGCACGTGTATTAACAAGAACTAAGAAAAGGGATCATATTAGTCCTGCATTAACTTCTCTGCACTGGCTCTGTTAAATCAAGAATATAATTTAAGGTACTTCTCTTCACCTACAAGGCACTTGCTGGTGAGGCACCGTCTTATCTTAAAAAGCTTGTAACACCATGTTGCCCTACAAGGCAGCTGCGCTCCATAGATGCTGGGTTACTTGTTGTTCCCAGAGTTTTAAAAAGTAAGAACAGCTTCCACTTACAGTCCGGGGGGCAGATTCGGTCAGCTCTTTTAAGATAAAGCTTAAAACTTTCCTCTTTGACATTGCTCATAGTTAGGGCTGGCTCAGGGTAGCCCTTACTTAAGCTGCTATAGGCTTAGACTGCTGGGGGACTTTTTAGGACACACCAAGCTCCTCTCTCACTGTCTCTCTTTCTACAATAATCAATGTTTTATTAATCAATATCACCAATTCAGCTGCTTTCTCGTCTCGCAGGTCTCCGTAGATTGTAGTTCCGTCTGGACACTGGTCCTGACTCCTGCCTGGCCCCGCGGACACTTACCGCTTCTAACACCATTGCTATTCCCATTTTTTATTGCTGTAAACATTAATGCGCATCACTAACTTTGTTTCTTCCATGGAGTACCTGTGCTTTCTCGCCATAAAGGTTTCCATTCTATCTGGACCCTGTTCCTGCCTCCGCCCCTGCTGACACCTACCGCTGCTTTCATCATTGTTATTATTTTAAATATGAATCATATTACTATTACTGTCATCATAAACCAATATTACCCTTCTTCGAGGAGGATTCTGTGGATGGTGGTTCTATCTGATGGTGGTTGTCCCTGCAGTGGTCCTGCCGTAAACCTGGCTTACTACTCGCAATTATTTGAAGAATTTCTGTTATAGGAATTGAATGTATTGTAGATCTTTTACATTGTTCATTCTGTACACATGACATGCATTGTAGTCTGTCCATCCTGGGAGAGGGATCCCTCCTCTGACGTTCTCCCTAATGTTTCTTCCCTTTTTTCTCCATGGGAGGGTATTTCCTGTGCCGATGGGAAAGTTTCAGGACAGAGGATATTGCATGTGTACAGACTGTAAAGCCCTCTGAAGCAAATTTGTAATTTGCAATTTTGGGCTGTACAAAATAAAATTAATTGAATTAATACTGTAGTTGCTAAACCTGGTAAGAATTGTTTTTGATTAATGACACTTATAATTTCAATGAGCACCAATTTAATCTGATAAACATATTTGAATATGAATTATTGTGTACTTTGTGCAATACTGTCATGTTCTAATTAAGTCCTGTGCCACTATTGAGAGAAACACACAGATTTCCCTTTTTGTAGAGAAACAGAACGTGGGCTTGTGCTCACCAGAAGCCCTGACGCATGTGAACAACTGAATGAAAACTGTAGTAGTGCTTGAATAAAATAAACCATCACTGCATCTGAACCATAGTTTATTTGCCAAAACCAAAACATCTTGTGGCAGGTAGACTATGTCAGCTTCTTGAGGCCTTTAAAACACAACAATAGTCCAGGGCGATTTAATCATACCATAGTGATTATAGTTCACATACTAAGTGAACCATTATGTACAACCTCAAACAAAAGAGTGACAGTTTGTCTATCCATGCACGCTTTCATGGGCTTTTACAATAGCACGTCCAAACAGTAGAGTGCATGACACATGCCTGTAGTGGCATTTGTGCAGAAAGGAAGTCTACAATAGATTTGGTGTCTATACAAGGTCTGAAAAAAGGTGGGATGTTTTCATTTGAATGTAGAAACCTTGTGTACGTAAACTAAAATGTCAGACTGTCGGTCCTGCCTTCAAGGTGCCTGTTGGGTCTGTTCTTCCTGTCTGTCTTTGTTTACCCTGTTCTGAATAAATTAATAACCTCGTGAAGCTTAACGCTCACACTGTATATGCAGCATTACAACCCCCTGTACTCACACATTACATTGTTAGATATTGAAACTGGAGAAACATTAGATTGACTTGTTGGATGATTTGGATAAAAGCTTGAGATAAAACTGCATTATTTAAGACAATTGCCTGGACTTACCAAAGACAATATCAAAGATTCAGATTAAGTTGATGTCAGAAGTAATATATTTGCTACTTGTGTTCTTTATCTTATCATTAGGACTGACATATGCTAATGTAATTTATCCCAGGCAATAACTGGAGCGCAATATAATGCACTGAGAGGTTTCTATGGCTAGATTACTGCTGACCATTAGCAAGATATCCAGGCACCAATATTAAATTGAGCACACCATGTCAAACGTTCAGAGTTGATATTTAATAAGTCCCAAATTACAGAGTATTTATTTAATTAATTTAATTTTATTCATACTAGGTCTACCATTGTTAAGATCACCATTTTCTAGTTTTGTAATAGCATGTAATGGAATTCAGACATTCCTGAATTTCAAATCTTCAAACTCTTGTTTAAAATGTAAATTGTGCTGGAGGAATAAAATCATGATTCATGAATCCAGTCCACAACATTTAAATTCGAATTTACACTTGCTAAAGCTTCTATTTGTCAGTACTGATACATCGTTATAATATCCTTAGTATCCGTAGAGCAACGTTTTATGATCTGTTTAACTAGTTTTTATATGCACAGAGGAGTACTTCCGCCAGCAGAGGCAGAGTAATACAAACTGCTTTGAATTGATCTTTCTTTGACTAGATGATATTGGCATGGTCAATTTAGTGGGTAAACATTACAGTGAAAAAGAAGCATTAGTAATGCTTATTGCTATGGCCTTTACAGCATATTTGTGCATATTGTTACTTCACTGCTGTGCCTTCAACCCATTTATTCACTGTGCCCACACCATATGTGTGCATTCATTCATTTGTGTGTTAAATATTAGAGGGTTCTGAGTGTATTCAGTTAACATAATGACACCACAGATCTGTGTGACTTGTTAATGCGGGGTCACAGGGGGCAGATAAAAGCCTAGGCAATCACTAAAAGCCAATGCGGAAGGATGCTGTTACAGAAGTCCTCGGGATGAGTACTGCATCGCTCCAGACAATGGGATTCCTGTTTGTCTCCTCCCACGGGAGCCTATTACTGTAAAAGCAAAACACAACGACAGCAGCAGAGGAATCGGTCCAAAGAGCTCTGCTGTCTCTGGCCAATTAAAATATTGGATGATTGTTGATTTTGGAAATCAAAGATTCTAAAGCATATTCAGAACAGCTAGATATGTCAACCCACTGAGAATGCAATTATGGCTATTTTTTTATTGATTTTCATGAAGTTTTACAATATGATCTAGGTAGCATCAGTACAACAACTGTGACCCTAAATATGTCAAATTTCCCTATCTTGGGCATGTTCCTCTGAAAAAAATTATTACTGAATTGGAATCAAAGGAGAATATTACAGTGTTAAATTACATTTTCAAATTCATATCTAAATAGTAATTACTATTCATTCTGTTGATTATTTCTGCATCCATTGTATAAAACAGACATTTTGTCAACGGTACAGATGCTGACCCTTAGTTTCTCTGTTAATAATCCTGATTAGAGAGATTAGAGGGGTCACATTGTTTTTCTTTCAGCTAGTCGTCCAGCAATCTAAATGGAGTAGCAAGGCACCGTAGAAGCCGGTTAGCTTATAGCTAATAGGCTAACTGGCTTCTGAAGTGCTTAAGCGTCATCGTGTATCTAACAGCTCACTGCTGGATATAAAATGATTCATTACTGATATTTCATCTGCTGAAAACACATTAAACCATACAAAACGTCTGAGCAAATACATCCCTCATTGAAGAATGCTCCACTTTTGATTGAAATGTATACTACATTTATAAAGTTTTTCTGAAAATGATAAATTTCACAACTCATGCTTAGGTTTTATTATACATTATTATACAATCTCAGCTGCATCAAGCCTAAGTAGACTGTTCAGATATGTTTGGCAAATTGGATTAAGATTAAGCAGTAATTAACCGCCTTATTTTTTTAAACAGGAAAAAAAGGAATTGGGGAATTTATGTATTAAACACAATCGTTTGTTATGTTGCTGCACCAATCCAAAAAGTTGATGTATGGGCTGAATGCCACAGATATGGACAGTGAGAATAGTTTGATTATAAGCAGAATGATGGAGGTGTGTGTTTGTCTGTTGATGACATGAGTGATGTAGCAGAGCATGTGTCTGTGATTGCACTGTATATTACAGCCAGCCCTCAAACCTTTTATTACACTGCTCTTAGTGTTCCCATACCCCAGGAGTGCCAGGAAGAAATCAAACATTAGAAAACAGTTTAACGTTTTGGTAAATGTTAGATCATGTTAGGTTATAACAGAAAAAAAAGTGTTTGGAGTTTTTCTTGAGGTCATTTGAGATGGTGGTTAAAGTCTAGCTTGGATCCATGGTGACAGCAGAATTCCTCACGTTTCTTATCTCGTTGTCGCCATTGGGCCTAAGTGAATAAACGCAAAGAAACCAACCCTTATCTTACTGCATATGATATAGCAATCATTATAGTGTGAGTTTCCGCAATTTGGCAAGCAAATTATTTCGTTAAAACATATTTTAGAACATGTATTTAGCATATGTTTTGTTTTGTATTCTATGAGACTTTCACCGCATACGTGGTTATAGAAAGTAGAAAATAACAAAGCAGAGGTGGAAGTTAGAGGTATTTCTTACCTTTTCAAGTTGTGCATTCTGTTTGGACTTGTAGAGGAACTCTCCAACGGCCACGAACACGGAGAGGACCAGTCCTGCAGCAAGGATGATGAAGATCCCTCCGATATTTTGCACCCCGAGGGCGCTGGCCTCCTTACTGTCCTCCTCCGGACAGCCATTTCCTCTCCACCACTTCTCCTTCATCATGTGCAGCTTCCCTTCCTCCTGAAGCTGTAGGATGGCAATGGTGATCTTATCTCGGTACGGAGAGCCTGAAGGACCAAAAGACGCCAGGTCAGCGGGAGCAACCAACATGACTTGATCACTGGCTTTGTTTAATTTTAGCACAGATTTGAACTTTTATTAAAAATGAACTTTGGTGGTCTGCAAAAGTTTGATCAGTCAGTCGTTGTCATTGCCACTCCTTCATACAGGGCGGAGGGGGCTGGAGTCAATCCCAGCCAACACCATAGTGAAACGGGGTGCACCCTGGATGGTTTCCAGTAAATTGCAGGGCTGACACAGAGACAAACAACCATTCACATCCACAAAACATTTTGTCAAAAATAAACCTAATCCCCAGGGCATGTCTTTGGACTGTGGGAGGAAGTAAGAGTTGAAATGGGCTGATATAATCCTAATTTAAAGAAGAACATAAAGAAGAGAAATGCTTCCCGTACCTCCATCAATGACTTCATGAGAATTGTAAATTAGCAATTGTAAAGTCTCAGAGTGCCATCAAGGAAATCAAAGGAATCTTTTTAACCACAGAATTAAGGGACTTGCTGAATAGAGGAAATTAATTATGCTGTTAATGTCACCTAAGCGTCGTACCATCAATTTTAAAGAAATGGTTCCAAAAAGTCTAGCCACACCACAGCCATGATGACAGCAATGGAAGTGATGATACTGTACTGTACCATATGAATGCATTTACAATAACGTTAGCCTATATCTTTCATTGTAAAGTCAAACGTCATAAAGAGTCATTTATATGGGCTTTTAAAAATCAAATTACAAACAAGGTCTGCACGGCTCTTAAATTGTGAACGACTGAAATTCAAATACCACAAAATTGGTGAATGAGGCAAGTCCTTTAAATTGACTGCTTAGTACCAATGTGTGTCTTTTACAACCCAAAGCCTGAGTCTCCAATTTGGTATTACATTAAAATAGTTTATTCTCAACATTCATTACAAGAAATACAATGATTAAGAACAAAGTTGTACTGTCAGTAAAACTATACATTTCCAAATATGCCAAGAAGTGACAGGTAAGATGGCTAAGCATAGTAAATCAGTTCCATTCAAACCCTTCACATTACCTCACTGCTAAAAATCTGCAGAACTATTTGAGACAAAAACAGTTATTTGCAGGAACCTATTAGAATCCAAATTGACGAAAAGCCAGCTTTTATCAATGAGACCAGTGTTTGACATGTTTTTAAAAAACGTTAAATGGTTTGGTTTTGGTAAACTTGGTTAAAGCACAGTCTGAACCTGAATCCAAATTTCGTTGTTAAAATGTTGTTTAAAAAAAGCACTAAAATGATCTGCCTAACAACCTGGAATAAAACCAAGGATGTGTGTCTTATTCAACTGAATTTTGTGAATCTTTCACAAACTGCCCTGGGTGTGTGTTTCACCAGAACCGAGTGTGTGACGCATCAGTTTCATGGGCTCATCGTGAAATCCTTTAGGATTTGAGATAACGGCTCAGTTTTCTCAGATTGTTACTTTCATTTCATTTAAGTCACATCTTCATTGGGTGTGGGGTATTTTCCAAACTCATGATGTGACTATACTCAAAAGAGCATGTGGTAGTACAGACTATTATGTCTGTTTTCAGTTATTGCATCAAAATCTCATCAGTCACATGATGTATTGTCTTCACAAAGATACATTCTGGTAAATGATTTTAAATGAAGGGCCCTCCAGAGATTTGATGTCCATGCTTAATTCTCCGTTTGTGTGCTGTTTATTATCCTTTCACCCTCTCTCACACACATCCCGTAGTGTGACCGTGTGGTGGTGAAAGCGGCGGGGGCTGAGGTGGAGTATGTGCCGCCGGTCACAGCGTTTGAGAAATGCATTCATGGCCCTTCTTGTTTACGAGGCGAAGCTGAACAGCCGTTGGCTAGCGGCTAGACAGCAGCCTGCTGACAAGCAGTACAGACACTTCCTCCAAACCCTGTTTGATTAACGCAGTCTAATGAAGATTGATACTCATCGGGGGGGAAGGACAAAGAGAAAAAAAGGACGTTGAATAATGCAAAGCCTCTTGAGACTTCAGAGTCTGTGGATACACAAGCTGCCAGCAAAAAAGCTGTGCAGGGAGTGACTGCAATTAATGACATATTTGAAGGAAACACATACATGTATACTGATTATGTGTGAAAAAAAATACTTCTTTCGCTGGGATGGGGCCGGGACACACGAATGGCCATAATGAAAGGAGATTATATTTTTTCCTCAAATGTGTTTTTGTTCAGTATTAGTCAGGAATCGCATGGATTACCACATCACAAGATGACAGTACGGAGAAAATTAAAATAACTTGAAATATAATGCATAAATACTCCATTTAATAAATACAAACTGAATGATTGATAAATAGATGCATGTCTCACAGATCAGTTAATGGCAATCAGGCTGGTAGAAATGGTGAGATATCAAAGTAACTGACAGATTAAATATCACAGCTGTTATAGGCATTCTGTTGCATTGCTGCTGCATCTCAGTCCAAGCGCTAAATGTTTCTCCTCAGCCACTGTGTTTGTCAGACCAGGGAGTTCTGCACTGCGACTCAGCAGCACGATTGTTGTGAGGGCTAATGCTTCCTTGTTAAAAAAAAGTGTTTCCTTCCTACCCACCTATTTCCTAACCCCTATGTTGTTACCACAGCAACCCATGCAGACAGGTTGGTAATCTCTGGCTACACAAATCTGATCATCAGCCACTGTGTAAGATGAATAAAATGTTGAAAATATCTGATTAAAGACAATCAAATTTGCCTGCAGTCTTAATGTAGCTGCAGTCTCTATAGATTTGAGAATGTCACTTAAAAACAAAAAGCTGAATGCTCCTAATTGTCCCTTCCACACTACTAACCAGAGGTACGTGATTATAGGTATTTCTGACCCCTCAAAGCGCTTTTGACATATTATTATTCTTACACTGATGGCAGAGGCTGCTATGCAACTAACTGTGCCTTGCCCAAGGACACGTCGATCAACAACCTTCTGATTCAAAGACGACCCTGCTTGTGTGTGAGGTAGTAACACACTAAGTGCCAAGTCTTTGTTCGTTGTGAATAACTAGTGCTCTAACCCTAACACTAACCGCGTACCTCTCAGTATTTTACCTTTGAACTTTCACAAACAAACAAATAAAGTTTATTTCAACTTTTTCTTTTGGTACTTAACTTGACTAATGTTCTCGCCATAGATGGATATCAATCCACGGCCTACTCATGTAGTTCCGTTGAACAAACAATATTATAAAAGCTGTGTCTTAACCTTCTGTTCATCATTAGCGACACCCACACAATGAAAGTTTTGTTACCAAAATGGGTTGAGGTCTCCTTGACAACTTTCTGCAATTGGTCAGCATGCTAAAATAGCAATTTATAACATAGGGGGGTTTTGTGCATTAAAAAAAATATTATCTAAATAATAATCTAAAAAACTATTGGTCTTCTTGTGACAAACACAGTACGCATCGTTGGGTCCTGTGTTAGCCGATCATATGTTAAAATATTGGCAAAGGACCAACGTGAGCTAACAGTAGAGATTTCAAGCAATAAACACATTATTAAAATGAGCTATGACAGCTGGGGGGGTGAACTAAGTCTGTCCATTGCAAAGCTGAGGGATCTGCCAAGGGGTCGATCGAGTGCTGTGGCTCTATCAGGAGCCATGTTCTACTCTCTGTTCAAGTCAGTGAAATATATGCTAAATGGTCCGGCTACATGGGAATACAGGCTACATATGGTAAAGGGTACTAAAAGGGTAGGATTAGCAATTTAAATACCTTGTTCTGACTGCATGTGAATGGGTCACCAGGGAGTAATGATGAAAACACTCCTCCTTTATTCGGTACGGACAATGTGTGTGGTGCACAAGCTGTCACAGGCGAGCACTCACTTCCCCTTCATTCCACTCGCCCCCTTCAGCCTCCTTTCTTTCTTTCTTTCAGTGCGTACACACATGCACATGTAGAATATAAATAGATGTATGCAGTCATCTAGGCATTCATGCAGACACACACACACTCAGACACACATACTGTAGCAAGCCTCCAAAAGGAGCACATCAGTCAAGAAATGCAATCACCCAAAGCAAATAAAGCCTACCTGCAGTGTTTTCACACACAGCAAAACAGTCCCTGAAATGAGGTGTTGTGGCTGACCAGCAGAGCATACACAAACAGGAGCAAACGACCTTGACAATGCTCACAGTCCTAGAGGACATTTCCCTTATTTGTCAGGACAAAACATCTACTGGATATCATCTATTCTCCAAATAAAGAGATTTCTGAAGGCGCATGCTGATAACATTTGTTTGTTATAGATTGTAAAAAAAAAATCAAAACAATTGTGACCATTTTCATGTCAAAATGCCAAGATCTCAGATACGAAATAGGTCTGGCTGAGTTTTGGAAACCAGCATCGTTTTTTTTAATCATTTGAAAGGTTCAGTGTTCAGTTAAATTAGGATACCATGAGACAATGAGGAATACAATGACCTAGCCTGACCTAGCCTGCCTTTTGACCACAAATTCCCTACCTGCTCCTTTTCGGATTTGTTTGCCTGTCTGATTGCCAGCCTATTCTCGTTTACGGGTTCCTTGCCTGCCCCTATCCTGGTTTTGACCTTGACTGAACACAAGTAAATGAACGTTGATTGGATTTCTGTTTCCGAGTTGTGCTTTTGGGTTCCAGTACCTGTAATCCTTAGATACGGTTTTCTCCTGTCCAGTGCGGCCAAATGGGGGCACTCGCCAGTAGTAGTTGGGATACTGGTGAGCGGACCAGAGCCTTCTCTCAACTCCTTACAAAGACTATTGTTGCCCGCATCTCTCCTCCATTCCGACTTCCTACCATGACATCAGGGAGGGGTTTAGCAAGGCTCGGGCACTCTCGTTACCACCTCACCGGCCCCACCACTGCGCTATTGACCTCCATCCGGGCGCTTCATTACCTTCCAGTCGGTTATACAACCTGTCAACACCAGAGAAGGCCTCCATGAAAGTGTACATCTAACAATCCTTGAAATCATCTATCGGGGGCTGAACAGAATCACTTCCTGGAACAAGTATCCTGTGCCTCTGATTAACTCTGCATTCAAACCTTTGTCTGGAGCCACAATCTTCACTGAGCTTGTCTACCATTTGGCGCAGATCCGTGCAGGGGATGAGTGGAAAACGGTTCAATACCCCCTCGGTCGAGTACCTGGTCATGCCAAATGGACTAACCAACGCCCCACTGTAGTCCAGGCGTTGGTAAACAACATACTCCAGGACTTTCTGAACCGTTTTGTGTTTGTGTATTTAGATGACATCCTACTCCAATGTTTTTTTGGGAGTTTGCCAACTTCTACCGCAGATTCGTCAGGAACTACAGCAAGCAAGCAGCCCCCCTCACTAGACTCACTTCCTCCAAGACCTGTTCTTATGGACACTAGAGGCTCAACGGACATTTCAACTCCTCAAGTACTGGTTCTCATCGCCCCATGCTGATTCCCGACGACACCCGGCAGTTATTTGTGGAAGTAGATGCCTCTGACACAGGGGTGGGGGCCGTCCTGTCGCAACGCGCGGACTCTGAGCTTTGTCCTTGTGCTTTCTTTTCCCACTGGCTGAATCCGACAGAAAGGAATCATGACAAACCGGGAACTGCTGGCAATCAAGCTGGCCCTCGAGGAATGGAGGCCCTGGCAGGAAGGGGCAGTTTGTGGTCTGGACGGACCATAAGAACTTAGAATACATCCGGACGGCCAAGAGGTTAAACTCGCCAGGCGAGGTGGTCCCTATCTTTGGGGCGTTTCGATTTTTCTCCTACGTCCAGGCCCCACTAAACCTGACGCTCATCGGGTCATCTCTCCAGTCCTGGCACCATCCTCCCGGTAACCTGCGTGGTAGCTCCTCACTTGGTAGATTGAATCCGTGGTGCAAGACGTTCTTCCGACCCAGCCAGACCCAGGAGGTGGGCCTCCTGGCCGCCTCTGTTCCTGTGCCTGCATGCTCCCAAGTGCTCCAATGGGCACATACCTCCCTGTTTTCCTGGTATCTGACATACCATTGACTTGCTTCGGCGGACATTTTGCTTGACGTCACTGGAGACGGACACAATAGCATTGCCTCACACCGACTGGCTTGCTGCAACCCCTTCCAATACCAATACCATATTGCTTTAGGTCGGTCAGAGGGTGTGGCTCTCTGCCAAGGACATCCCACTGTCAACCTCGGTTTCCATCTATCTACTCTCATGTGCCTGTGTTCCCCTGTTTGTTTTGTTATGCCATGTGCTCGTTGTTTGTTTTGTCGGTCCTGCCTCCTTTATTGACATACAACCATATATGTGCAGAGACACTTTCACAGCAGGTGTTACAGACTTCATCAGCGCATCTTGAGCAAATAAATACAATATGGTGGCCACAGGATAACTTGGCGTCACCTTCTGCTTCCTCTAGTATGTTTCTATTGTGTTCCAATTAGCAAATAATCTGCAAGCATTTGTCACAGCACTTCTTAAATGTAGCCACTGCTATCATGCTTTACATTCTTTAGGTGGTATTGATTGAGACAGTATTTTGTTTAAAAACCCTGTTTGAAAGAGGCACAAACAGGAACTACTTAAGTGAATGAAAAGGATTTAAGAGTAGCTTTGTGTATGAGGCCATCATGTAAAGTAGTCCCCCAGTTATAGTTCTGCAGGTACTTAACCGGAGGGTTTCTTTTAAGTGCATTCATAACAGGATTATGAATCTACTGCTGAGCTCCATAATCAAACGTTGCATGTCCAGACACACAGTGTAATGTGTCGCCCTCTGTATTAATCCCTCTATCTATGGAACCCTGCTCCTTTGCCTGCTGGGACAAGCCCCAGGATTGTCCCTGCTAAGTATTTTGCCACTGGGTTACTGTTAGGATTGTAACGCACCAGAATACAATTTACACAGCTTAGAAGGTGCAATAGGGATTTTGTCATCATAGACAGCGTAATAGGATCCCGTTTGTGTTATTACATTTTTATAGATTGCGGCATACGCAGCTGAGGAGGGAACATTGTCCAGGGTTGTGATTAAATAAGAAAACACCAAGCATCAAACCCTGACCTCAAAACATTTAACTTTCCCTTTGATGTCTGCTGCAGCACCTTTCATTTTAACACAATAGCTTTGTGTAACTCATAGTTCCATTTTGCCTCAGCAATGATGTGTAAATGTAGCGTACGTACCCATCGGGGTTCCGACCCCATAGGCTTTGGAGTCAATGAGGCCTCCAATCTGGGTGAGGTTGCAGTTGCGCTGGGTGACAAACTCTATGGTGGTGGATTCCATGAGGAATGCGTAGTCAGAGGTGAGCACCCGCTGAATGCCTTCGTCGATGTCCTTCACCATGACTGAGTGCCTCCGACTGCTCATGAACTCCCACATCTTATCATACGTGGATATCTTGGTTTTCTGTGAGGAGACACAGAAGAGCCTCTTGCGTAAGAGAAAATGAACTGAGACACTTCTTATGTATTCATTTTAAAGAGAAATTCTAGGTAGGAGGTTAAGAACCATTTAGCAGTTATAAAGTTCAGTGACTTCAAGAAAGAACAGTTAGAGCCTTGTTTAAATCAATATAAACGGCTCAATCAAGACCCACAGGATGAAATTATTTTGCAAAATATAAATTGCTTTAACTTTCTTTGCAGCTGCAGCCATACTATATGCTTTCTGCCTGCCTCAGTCATTATCGCTTGTAAAGAGCATGTTGGGTGAAGCGGATGAGTGTGTTAAATAGCAGCAGCAGCAGCAGCATGATTTTGTCCGACCGTACATCTTGGCGGTCTGTGCTGCTGCTATCACCCATAGTTAGGATTAGCAGAGGTGTTGTCAGTAGCAGTATGCCTCACTTTCTACACCTGTAATCATGCAGGAAAATCCAAGAGCACATTACTCTCCAGGGGAGCCAATTTGAAGCCATTTTTGAAGCCATTTGAAAGCTAATTAAGTCACATCTTCAAGGTCCTGCCCGCCATTATTGTAGGTAATGACTTTTTGTGGTTGGTCGATATTTTAGATCAACTGGGTGATTTGCGAAGTGCCTATCAGAATCTTTTGGAGTCACCCTTGACAAATCAGGCGATTGAGCATGCAAGCTTCAGACTGCTGATAAGGCGAGAGCAGTGGCTGTGAATACACAGAGAGTCAGATAACCACCTACGCTCCACATCAGCCACAGAGCTGAGGAGGGCTCCCCAAAGCCTCCACACAGGGATCCAGAGCTGATCATATGAGGGATCTTGGAAAATGCAGTGGCTCATGTTATGAATGGCGGTCAAACCAAAAGACAAGAATCCATCCACAGCATTTCAGAATGTGTGACATCCTTCTTGTTTATTCAAACTGAATAAGAATATTCAGTTTGAATAAGCAAAGAATGCTCAATTTCACTTCTGTAAAACTTGCAGGCTCTTCCAGTCATCAAATGGAAGTGTCTATAAATTATCAAAACGTTACTATCTTTAGATTGTAGTCATGCTTTTTGCTCTGTAAATCACTATCACCGTTCACAAGAACAGAAAGACCCCCCTGCAGTGAATATTCATAACAATAATAATGGCCCTAACTTTTTTAAAAGTTAGGGCCATTATTTACACTATGGCATCTTCAAGATTGACAGCGGAAGAGAGAGGCAAGTTATTTACCCTGTATGTAATATCAAAATGTTGACACCAGAATACGATTAATATCTCCTAAATGTTCCTTTTGATATGCAATTAATCCACATCAAGATGAGAATTTGCAGTTACAAATACACTTTGTATGGTGAGAAACAATTGGGGGCTCATCCTAACTTGTGCAATTGGCTCTGCTGCGGGTGTGATTATTGTGGCGCATGGTTATTGTGGCTGTAAGGTAAGTGAAGTGCTGCTCTGTCCCTAGTAGGAAAGAGTGGACTGTCTTTGGAGTTTGTTGGGAGGGCATTGATAGTGTGGTGCGAAAGTGGTTAGAGCAATTGTCTCGGGGGCACGGCTGAGGCTGTGGGTGGGGGTGGGGTGCCAAGTCAAGGTTCTCAGCTTGCAGGTATCTGCGCGGGGCGATGAGGGCTCTGAGGACGCATAAAACCTTGCGTAGGATTTGCGGCAGAAGTGGCGTACAGATGAAACATAGGACGTGCGTACGCACAGAAATATTCAGACTTATAAAAGCGTGCGCACGCACGTCCTACGCAGTTTTCCCTAAATAAATCACAATCACTTCTAAATGCAGCGCAGCTTTTGCGGCTTCATGCCACGCTCATTGTTGCCCATATATAGTCTGTGGAACGCCCACAAATTAATATTCAGCGATTGCAAAATCATGGCAAACACTGAGAGGAAAACAAAGAAACGTAACTTCACTCAGTGTGAAGTCAAAATTATCATTGGTGAGGTGGGAAGGAGAAGTAAAATGCTTTTTGGAGGCCACAGTATGGGCATTACTAATGCAGAAAAGGCACTTGAGTGGCAAAAGGTTGCGGAGCCACGCTGCAGCCTAACAACCTTGGGCCGTGGCCGAAATAAAGAAAAAATGGTCTGACATCAAAGTGGATGCAAAAAAGCGTTTAGCGCGCCATCGCACAAGTGTTCCTGCCACGGGTGGGGGAAAGGGGACACCGGAGCTGTCCCCTCTTGATGAGAGACTGGCGGCAATGATTGGGGATCGGGGACAGTGTCTGGGCCAACATCGGCGTCAGGGGGTCGAGGCACGTTTGGAAGCTGTGCCACATTATGTAGCACAGCACATGACAGCACGATTTTGCACACCTTTTAAGGAGTAAACAATAACCTGTAAACAATAATCTGTTTGTTTTACGCTGCAGATCGATCAAACGGGTGTTTGTGTTATTTATGAGAGGCAGAATTGGCATTTCTTTTACAACAGTCTAGTTTTACACACTTTCACACACGTTTGCGTGTTTCTTGCATTTGCCGACAGTTCTTATTTCACCCGTTTTTGTGCATACGCATGGGTCCGAGCTTGCGTGAAGGACCGCACATTTTTCCGTCAAGTTTGCTTTTTATAAATACCAATTATTGCGTAGAGAGTGGCGTACGCCTTCTTTTGTGCGTACGCAACGTTTATAAATGAAGCCCCTGGTCCTCCAATGGTGCCACTTGTAAAGAGTGGTGGGGCGGGCACAAAGCCGGGCACAATGCCTCAGTTTGTTCCATTGTTTATGGAGTCATCTCCAGGTTCTGGGCTGGATGCCCGTCTAAAGGTGAGCCTTGCTCGTCTTCACTTGGGCAAGGTGGAGCGGGAGTTTCAATTTCGGAGGGAGTTGCGAAAGTTGGTTCGGGAGAGTGAAGTGGAAACTTATTTCGGTGCCTTTGAGGGCATTGCTGCTGCTTTGCGTTGGCCTGAGAACGTGTGGGCCATCTTGCCACAATGCAAGTTGGTGGGGAAGGTTCAGGAAGCATGCTCCTCACTGACTGCGGAAGATAGCCTGGAGTACGACAAAGTTAAAAGTGCTATACTGAGAGTGTACGAGTTGGTGCCAGAGGCTTATAGACAGCGGTTTCGTAGTCTTAAAAAGTCGTACGACCAGACTTGCGTTGACTTCGCCAGAGATAAAAAGATTCTGTTGGATCGGTGGTGTAAGGCATGTATGGCTGAAGATCCGTCTTCGGTGTGTGAGCTTGTCATGATGGAAGAATTTAAAAAGTGTGTGCCGAAGCGTACGGTTTTTTTATAGAAATGAGCAGAAGGTGACTACCCCGCAGCAAGCTGCTATTCTTGCATATGAGTTTGCTCTAATGCACAGAAACGTCTTTTCCTAAAGCTCTGCTGGAGAAGAGGCAGGCAGAAGCCTCCTGAGAACCATTATTGATGGTCATATTAGACTGGTAAAGGAGACACTGAAGTTAAGCTGTCTTGATTTCACGGCCTTCTCAGTTGATGCCACTAAGCCAGATCAGAGCCATAGGTGAAAAAATTGATCTCAAAGTGAAAAATAAGATTCTAAAAGCTCAAACATAAAACAAATATATATATATATGTGTGTGTGTGTATATATGTATATATGTTTGTAAATATATATATGTATATATGTGTGTGTGTGTGTGTGTGTGTATATATATGTTTGTATAATATATATATATATATATATATATATATATATATATATATATATATATATATATATATGTGAAAATGTAAATAAATACTTTACATTAATCAGAATTATATTCGACCCAAAAATATTTACTTTTTTTCAATGTTCAAGACCAAAACTTAAACTCTCTGGTTCAATTTTCTTTTTCCAATGACCAAAACTTTAAGCCTCGATTTGGCTCCATATCAAACAAACATAATACACATCAAAAACCCAAATTGCAATGGTAATAAGTTGGGCTGTCAAAGTTGACACGTATCTGTGGCCAAGATTAATGCGCTCACTGGAAAAGGGAGAATACACGGTCGATACATATGTCCCTCTCTATTGTTTTAGCCATGCCTCTCTGAATTGCCATGTTCCCATCATCCCAACGGCAAGCCATTAAATTGCAAGGTGTACAGGCATGTTCCCATCCCCTTAATGGCATGTACCCAACTGAGATTGGTTTGTGCCGTTCTAAAGAAGGAACCTTCCCAGAACATGCCTTTCTAAAAAGGGAACCTGCCACCGGCGACTTTTCGCTCTCGGCGTCACTAAAAAAATCCTTGGTGTCGAAAGGTTCAAAAGTTCTGCGTCCTATCGTTCACCAGCCTGACCTTCCCCATGATCCTTCTCTGCTGATCCTGGTTGACTAACAGTGCTGTCATTCTCATCGAATTGTCAAAGGAGGTGTCAATCACGCTAATCAGTTTTTGAGTCTGTTTTTTTAATGGTAAAATTCATAGAAGTTTAAAAAGAAGAAAAAAAACTATACATGTGTATGAGAGTAACTGAGTAGCAGAGGAAAGTAAGGAAACAAGACCAACACCACACAGAAATGGAAATGCAGATAACTAATATAGAGTGTGAGAGGTGAATAAAGTCAGCCAATGATAGCTAACTAAACGTGTGCATCTCTTCTACAAGGCCACCAGACATCCAGGCGACCTGAAATCGGACTAAGTATCTCTTTCTTTAAACCAAGCTAGTCTGCTAAACTTGTTGATTCTAGTGTCTTAAGTTAATTTGATTGCTGATTTGCTTTAGTTTTCGTCGTCTCACTGCCAGTTCTCTTTGTTTGAAGTTATCTTGGTTGCTAGTTTGCTCAAGCTCTTTCAGTCTTTTAGTGCCAGTTTGTGTTCTAGATTCTACTATTAAGTTAACTGCCAGTGTGCCCTCCTAACTCTGCTAGGTTTTGACCTGATCTAAGTCTGTTTTGCCTTGTCTTCTGAAGCAAATAAGACTTGAATCCTTAAACTCTCATTTTGTCAAAACACCACATGGTCATTGTTCACTAATTAGGGTGTCAAGCTATTGGTGTTTTGCATTTTGA